CATCATTTCCACAGGCATTAACACCTATTGCCTCGGGGAGAAAAACTCTAAGAAAAGATCATCTTGGTTTTGCATTACTAAATCAGCACTCTGAAATAAAACATTTGCTCTATTTCAGTATTTACTGAGAAATGTTTATATTCTGGGTATTTTTTTTCTAAACTACTGATTTCTGCCCCTTAATTCTGCAAAATATTTAACATGCAACACCACAGGCTGCCCCTTTTGGAGAACAGAACAGCCCTGCAGAGCTGCCAGTTACCACCACTCAGGGCACTTTTATAGCACTCTACCTTTACGCTTCAGGCTTTTTCAGAAACAACTTTTTATTTTGGGGCAATGAAACAAGAACCAAGGTATATTTAAATAACCATAGTGAGGGCTTATCATGATTAGGGGAAAGTGAACAAATCTAAGAGGAAAAAGGAAGAAAAAGGAAAAGGTAATCAACACAAAATGAGCACAGACATGGTGCCTGACGTGATGCTAAGTATTTTCCTTTAAGTTATTCACACAGTTAACATTTTATTTTGAAAAATGTAAAAGAATAGTACAATAAACACATATGCTCTTCACTTGGTTAACATTTTGCCCCATTTTCACACTATATCTACATAAGAAATATAATAGATTTATATATAGAGAGAAAGATATATGTGTATATATACAGACGTATTTATATAGACAGAAAGAGAGACAGAGATTCATATATTTACAAGAGACACACACATATTACCTGTGTGCATATTTATGTATATATATGGCATATGTGTGCATATATGTGGTACCTTTTAAAGTAAGTTGCAGACATCATGACACTTCACCTCTAAATACTTCAGCATGCATCTCTCAAAACCAAGGATGCTCTTCCACAAAATCTCTGTACCATTACCCATATTAAGTTTGATCTCTGGCATATGTCTCAACTACAAGATTACTTGTAACCTCTTAACCTTAAAGACATATTTTTCCTTACAATTCAAATGCAATATGGGGGGAAGGGATACTTCCATTGAGAATATCCCTTCCTTCAACAATGTTTTATCTAGCTATTTTAAGTATCAACTGGTGATCTCGAATTATAAAGATACTACTCCAATTTTACCAAAGACGACACCAAGTTTTGCAGTCTAGAATAACTAGCTGGCATATAGATGAGCCAGGCTTCAAACCTCATCAGGACCATAGACTCATAACCAACTGCCACTGGGGTCATGCTGCCATCAAGATCTTGATAAAATCGGCCCTAATTCCTATATCACCACCCAGAGGAAATCTATTGCTTTTTTTTAAGATTCCTGTAACTTCTTCTGGGGCTTATATTCTCAGGGATACTCCTGGGTCCAGCTTCCTGGGCCTGATGTATCAGTATCTCCTGCTCCACATAAACCCAAATGCTGGGCCTACTTTCAGCTTCTTTCCTGATTTCTCTATGTGAAAGTATGAGTGGGTAGCAGACTTCACTGTAGGATTGAAGAGATGTTAAAGGAAAGGAAAAGATTTTCTTTGTCTCTTCACCAAAAACCTAGAATTGAAGATTAGACATTTCTATCCTACACCTCATTGTCTCGCCTCCAGGTCCTCAGCGTCATCCACCCCAGCTTTTGTCTTCTTCCTGTTGTGAACACAAAGATTAACTTCCTCTCATATTTCTATGGAAAATAATCCAGCACTTCCCTTACAGTAAACTCTGCTATTCCTGCTCCCCCCCTCCCCCGTCTTCTGGTGTGTATCTAGACTCAGCCAAAGCTTTAAATTACACCTGATCAAAATGTGACTAAGCTTTCAGCTTCCAATTCCCCCTAAGTCATTCTAAGGAGGCCTGGAGGAGGCAGAAAGAGTAAAATTCTTGTTACACGATCTCTTAGGAAAATCAACCAATTGACTTAAGGCCTTAAAATAAAGTCACAGCCTAGCTTATGTGTCTCTGAGTTTTCATGGGGATAAAACACGAACTGGAATGGGCCGCCAGTCGATTCAACTACCCATCTCTCCTCCCCTCCCGCTTCTCATATCTCTATTTTTCCCAACCATCATCTGCTTCCTAGCATTGAAAGAGTTTTCTGCTCTGTGGTCAGGCCTGTGCCAGAGTTAATAAAAGTTTCGTCACTGCTGTGCCTCTCTGGTGGCACCATCTCAAGAGAAACAACTCAGACAAGAACTGTTCCAAAAAGGAAAAAGGAGACAAGCCAAGGAGAATTCAGCTAAATGTAAGGCACTCGTTTTTGAAGATCTTCTCTCCTCTGCCAGGATCAAGGTGAACTATTTCTGTCCCCTCAGTGACCCTCCTCTTCCAACCATTGTTAAGATTTCTTGTGGACAGCCCTGCTTCGTTTTTATGTATGTCTAACTTCCAGAAAGTATGTGGACTGAAAAGAAATGGCAGAAAAAGCGTGGTGACAACGTCCAAGGTCATCCAGAGGGATGACTTTGAAAGACTGAGAAGATATAAGAAAGTGTCAGTAGCTTTTTTTGAAGGAGAACTTCAGAAAAGGAAGTCAGAATAGGCAGAGATAGTGCAGAGCTGGGGAGATGCTGGTTTGCTGCTGTTCACAAAATTGAAATGGATCTAGGGAACCATATGTAAGCCCTTTTTTTCCTTAAGGAAGGTCTTAGTTTCCTTCTAGGAGTAGAAAATAAAACAAATTATGAACATTTTTCAAAAAGCTTCAAGAGAATCTATTAGCCTGATAAAAAGATACAATTTCTTTTATACATTTAATTATCAAATTATAATTGCTCTGAAATAATAAATAGTAGTTCACTATTTTTAATTTTTATTTACATATCTTTTTATTGAATATAGTCAGTTTTCAATGTAGTGTCGATTTCTGGTGTACAGCATAATGCTTCGGTCATACATGAACATACATATATTCATTTTCATATTCTTTTTCATCATAAGTTACACAAGATATTCAAGTTATTGAATATAGTTCCCTGTGCATATACAGTATGAACTTGTTGTTTATCTTTTTATATATATATATATCTTAGTTAGTACCTGCAAATCTCGAGCTCCCAATTTATCCTTTCCCACCCCTATAACCCCACTGGCAACTGTAAGTTTGTTTTCTATGTCTGTGAGTCTGTTTCTTTTTTGTAAATAAGTCATTTTGTCTTTTTTTTTAAGATTCCACATATAGGTATTTGTAAATAAGTTCATTTGTATTTTTTTTTAGATTTTACTTATGGTATTTTTTTCTCTCACCATTTTTTAATGCTTAGGTATGAGCTAAGCATGATTTAAGTGCCTCAATTGGAATGCTCCCATTTTATAGATGAGGAAACTAAAACTTAAACAAAACAATTGGCTCAAGTTTCCAAACTTACATAATTAGTAAATGGTGAAACCATGAAAACTACCACAACCTACTTGAGACCCTATATTTTGAAGCTGGATTAGCCAATACAGGAAGACGCCAAAAGACTGATTTGAGTCCATAGAGGATCAAGAGTTACACAATCTTAATATCCTAGCTACGGCTCTCGCAGAGCCTCCAAAATCAACCACTTCTGGTTAATTCCACTTTTAGGCACGCCAAATAAAAACGTCCAAAAAAAGGTCAAGAAAGGTGGAATTTTAAATAAGAAGAGAGAACTCTAAGGACAGCAAAGTGCAGCTGCCTCTGTCTCCCTAGAGGGAAGGACGTGAGGAACTCTTTGGTGCTGTCCATAGGTAGCAGAGTCTACATTGTAACTGGAGCGTTAAAGCAGAAATGCATATGGGGCTCTTAGGTGTTTCCAGATCCCTGCTTCATTTAAGCCTTCTAGGGTAAGTAAACACCAGTAACACTTTCCAATCAAACGGGCAAACATTTTACCTTTCTGTTTGCTCACAGTCAACAGTTTGTCTTGATATTTCTGCTGGATCAGCGTTGAGAAATGGGACCCTGGAGAATCAAAGCCTTTCACCTTGCATTAATTCCTCTGCCTGCCCAGTAACAGAAATAACACTGCACTGCTCAGAGCCCTGCTGCAGATAAATTAGCCAATGTCAACAGAGGATAACGAAGATTAAAATGGTGCAGGTCCTGTTGTCGTGAATAATGAACACATTAGCTATACATCGTTATCCCAAACATGCGTATTAAAGCTGATCGGCTACAAATCCCGTGACATTTTACTAGATGACGGTTCAATTTAAAAGGAGGCCCTTTGGAAAAATGGTCTCCTAGATTTATATAAGATTTTAAAATAATTTTCATATTTCAAACCATTAACTGTTTATTTAGGATCCCACTTTACATGGTCACTCATTATCTACCAGGTCATTCTGAACTTTCCACAAAAGGATTTCAAATAGCACCAATTTTTTTTTTCAACCTAGTCAGTAATGAACCTTTCCTCTTGAAAATTTTTATAGAAAATTAGGAAGCATATTGAGAAAAAAATAAATAGACCTGATTTATGGAGATCCACCCACTCTTCAGACCTCCTGAATGTTCCCGCCACTGCCATCACCCCGGCACTGGCAGGACCCACCTGATGTGCTTTTCCCTCCCAGCCAAGCCCCACCGTCTGCTTTCCTGTCCAGGTAACTGCCTAACCCACCCCATCTTAAATGCCTGGATTCACAATGAATCTTTTAAATTTTGCTTTGTGGTTTAATGTGATCAGTCAGTCGATCTATGCTCGTGAATTCTAGAGTAACTACACCTGAGTAACATCGTCTCCTTTTTACCTGGGCCCTCCTTATCACATGATGTTTGTTCTCGAATGTCTGTGTACATATCAGATGGTTGGCGCTGTGACTGTCTTAGTATTTACTGACTCTGTGGACCCCTCAATCCTCACCACTCTGGGGCATCCTCTGTGCTCACCTCAAACCCTCCCCTTCAGGCTTCTCTGCCCCTTTATTTATTGTGCAAACTGTAAATCTATTGTGGCATGTCCCTTGGCGCTCTCACTGGATGAGCTGTTTTGCTAGAACAGTTTTTAAACGAATCTGCTCTCTGTGGCTGCTAGTTGGGAATTTTATCATTCTGAGAGACAGAGCCACAAAGGAGAGAGAGAGAGAGCATGAGAAACAGAAGCTCCAATGACTCATTTCGGAACAGAATCCTAAAATAAGCTAGCTTTCCAAATGTGCATAAAATTTTGACTGCATCTGTATGTCCAGCACGCAGCAGCGAGTTGCACATTCTACTTATCTCTGGTACAATGAGGCAGATTAAAACTGCCTTCCAGAGCTTGCCCCCACCCTGCAATAATATTGACAGTGCCAGTGTGGTGTGGCGGGCAGGTCCTTGTGGAGAAGGAGAGAGAATGTCTATGGAAGACAAACACTGGGGGATCTGCCCCTGAGGCCCTGTTGCTGGCCATTTGTTAAATACAGGGCTGAGTTTGAGGCATCTGAGATGAAGATGAGGGAAAATGGGTGGCAATTATTCATATGGAATTCATGGAGGAACAAAAAAATATCCTAAAGAAAGTCTTTAGTTTAAAAGGATAATTTGGAAAGGATGTTTCTTCATCCCAGTGTTAAATGAGCTTCTCAAAATACTTAACTTGGACTCCACGGACACCCTAAGGGTTCCTGGGAGTATTCTGCAATTAGATGCAGAATGACGTGGTGTGTGTATTAGGGGCAGAGAATATTTCAGGAATAGAACTCAGAGTAGTTCATGACCTCAAAACATTTATAAACTTGAATTAAAAATTGCAAATCTTTAAGTTAAATTAAAATATCATGCAATAAAATCTGCAGAAATACTGGCTAAAGAGGCAAAAAAAAATTGTAAACTAAAAAAGACCGAAAAAGAGACACTCCGAATGACTATTTGGAAATAATGCACCCAGGCACTGATTTATAGAGGTATGGTATATGATGACCACAGTAAAAGAACGATACTATTTCCTTATTGTTGTTATTATTATACTATTTATCTCACATTTTCTTATGCACAAACCCAGTGAAAGTGAGGTGCCTCACGGAAGACAGAAGTTAAGTAATAGGATTAACAGTGCTCTGAGATTCCAGGGAGTCACCTAAACCATTTAAGCCTCTTCTTTCAACTCCAAAATAAGGATTAGATCTGATGATACTTCAAGGGAACCTTCAACTCTAAACTTCTATAACAAAGCCTTTTTTCATACTATAATTTAAATATTTGTTCTCAAATGTACAGTCAATACAAAACAAAATTTTAAAATAACAACAAATACACAAAGAAGAATACCCAAGCTTTTGCATTCTCCTAAAATCTCTCCTAAGATGAAGACACTCTGCCGTCAAAAACCACTCTGGAATATCTACAGAATTTGGCCCAAAGCACAATTTGCTTATGATTTGGTGATAGTCATTGACAAAAAAATTGTAGTTTGGAGGATTGCCCAGTTTATTGATAACTAAACACTAACCGTTATTCTTAAAATTCAGCTTGCATTAGAATCACTTGAAGGCCTTGTTGGAATACAGATTTCTGGGCACCACTCCCAGAGTTTCTGGCTTGGTATGTTGGTGTGGAGCCTGCGAAATGGCACGTCTAACACGTTCCCAGGTGATGCTGAAGCTCTCTTTCCAGGGACAAGGCTACTCTGCGCTGCCTCCACCCTACCCTTTCCCTACAACAGAAAGTCGTCTGGGCCCAGGAATAACTCATTTGATTGTCA